ACTCGGTGCCTGATTCTTTCCCTCCACACACAGAACACCCTACACTCAATACATTGATAATGTGTTAATTAATGTATTAAATATCACGGGCGGCACGGTGGCTGAGTGGATAGCACTCTCGCCTCTCAGCAAGAAGGTCCTGGGTTCGAATCCCGGTCGGACCAGAGCCTTTCTGAGTGGAGTTTGCATGTTCTCCCCGTGTCTGCGTAGGTTTCCTCCGGGTACTCCGGTTTCCCCTACCACTAAAAATATGTCCAATAGTTCTGGCATGTGCCTTCTGTACTGGCGACCCCGCTCCCATCTCTGTGTGGAGTGAGAGACAAATGCCCAAAATTAACAATTGTAAACCGCTTTGAGACTCAGATCTGCAGTGAAAAGGCGGTATATAAATAAAAACGTACTTACTTACTTACTATCGTATTTATTCAAAAGTTAAGAGAAAGAGAAAGTAAAAAAACAGAACTTCATTTAGGTAAGCATGGTTCAATTTCAACCCTTTTTTCACGACTAGTTATGTACTGTATGTGTTCTGGCAATATCTCATACATAAAGTCCACTATGGGTTTGCTTTCCGCTCTCCTGTTTTTTTAACCTCCCTTGAAAACAATGTCGTGTATCACCACTGCTGTCCGCCTTCATGCCGTGGTTTGCATGTCAACGCAAAAGTCAACGCAGACACGTGGGAATTCAGGCAACAACAAAACTCAACTCCGATATTGTTAATCTGCGGCGTCTCTGTGATCCAGGACGTGGAGGACGGACGCCATGCCTGGGATTCAAATGCTCTGCTGAGAGTATGGCACCATTAACTGCAGTGCTATTTACACATCATAAGCCAGTCTATTATATTGACATCCAGACGACCCGCGCCGCGCTGCTCTGGCCGCTGTGTTTGCTCTCTCTCGCCGCATGCTGATTGGGTGATTTCCTTGATAGGACATTCCTACGTGGCGTGGCTCTCTCTCTCTGTGTGTGTGTGTGTGTGTGTGTGTGTGTGTGTGGACCCAAAATGGACTCGAAAGCATCCATTACCGGCAGAGAAATGAGAGAGAAGGTCAAGGAAATGGTATGGACGGAGGAAGAGCCCCGGGTAACAATCCAAGTGGGGATTAAGGTATCTCTTATATCTCTTACTTACAATAAATCCACACGTCCCCCATCTTGAAATGTCTTGTTTAAACTACAGCGCAAGCGTGAAGCAAATGTTTGACTTGATTTAAAATTCATTGTTGAGTATTACATTGGCGTCAGGGGTGGCAGAGGTGAGTACACGGCTTGTTTTATTCTGAGCTGAAGAGAGATGCTTTTTTTCGCAATACTATAGAGCAGCAGTGAGACAGTATCATTTGAGATTTGTTTGATGTTTTATAACACTTTGAAGCAACTGTGGTTAAAACTAAGTTGATTATTATTATCATACAGGCTGTAGATGGTATGTTTCAACTCTAATGTTTTTGTTTTCTGAAGGCCCAAGCTACTGGCACCGAGGCACATGCTGATTGGACTGTGCTTTAATATCACATTTTTCATTCTGTAAAATCTTCGTCCGGGTCTCGTCTCTACCGTCGACAATAAAACATGTCTTCTGTCTGTCTGACGCAATCCCAGACTTTTCATCACGTTTCGAAGACTTATGTAAAATTTTCTTTTTTTGGGAGGTTTCGACCATGTTTCATTGTTTTCGGTAGTTGTTTGCAGTTCCAAGTCCAGAAATATGTCAAATTCCGTCCAAATGCCCCTTTTTCAAACTTATTACTTATGACTATGACCTCATGGTGTGGTTTTTTTGCCTTTTAAAACAAAAGTATTGCCTCCAAAGTCGTTTAGGGCAATTCTCCAGTCCAATTATGGTGTTTACAACTTGAATTACACTGCGCCATTTTAGTTTATAAACAAGAGAAGAATGTTATTTCCACTGCTACCACAAGATGGGGGTGTTTTACAACTCTGGGTGTTTTCTATTTCCTCTATACATGTTTATCTATGACTTTTATACTGAGAATTGACTTTGTATTTTAAACCAGAACATGTTTTTATTTGTTTATGGAGCAAAACAAAGACATGTAATTCATGAAATGTATACAGCATTATTTTCTACTTTGCATAAATTATAATTGCACAAGTGGAAATGTAGGCAGTCTCTCCCTATAGCTAAGCATGCACACAAACACACACACACACACACACAAACACAAACACACACACAAACACACACACGCACACACACACACACACAAAGTCCTTTTATCCCAGCGTTGATGGTTTTGAAGCGTCCAGTGCTCGTTGATCAAAAGCGATAGATCTTTTTTTAAGTTAAGTTTTTGTTTTCAAGATAGAACCTTTAGTAACAGGATCACCCCTAAACCAGAACACTTTCTATACAGCAACCTGGCTTCCCATACATGTCTTTCATATTCTTATTTTGTATATATCTCTGTTACTGATTTTAGTGGTCCCCAATCTCTGACACATGTTCACCTTTTTACCGTTACATAAGATTTGTGGGTTCATCCAGGCGCTAAGGAGCTAGCATGCACGCTCACACAGCCTATAGCCTCCATACAACTGCGTGTTAAGTTTGTGTGTATACGTATAGCTCTCATTGTGTAATAGTTTTCCTCTAAAGAACATTGATCACAGCTAATATTGCTTGTTATACTTTTAAACCCCTCCTCACCTCTGAATAAGTTTTGACGTCACCTTGAAAGCCCCAGCCTTTTCACCAACAGTCCAAATATTTGACATGGTGTTATAATGGGATGGCAGCCGTAATTCCTGTAACTGCTGTTGACTTTGGTGCCCCAAGTAAAATAAATCTATTTTGGCCATTGATGTGAATGAACTCTGTGTGAACTGTCTCCAGCGTGAGCAGAGATAAGGGACAATAGTTCTCTTTTACAGCTGCAGCATTAGAATAAGGACGGGCTATTACAGTGGGCTGAGCGGCTGCACTTTCACTTTCCACAACAGCTCGGTGAAAAGAACTCGGATCATCCCCATAATGGAATAAGCTCGGAATATTTTGAAATCGACCTTTGCTTCAGGCTTGTCCCCATAATTAATATATATACTGTATACTATTGATTTATGGTTTCATAAGTGGTAATATTGCATTCACTGTGATTGTAGTGTCTGATTCTCTGATCTGTTGTTGGCGAATCGACATCTTTGTGAAGTCGATCAAATCCCTGTTGTGATTTAGAGCTAAATACATTGAATTTAATTGAATAAATTTATGTATTTTAGGGCTTAATATTTATCGCACAAAAGTTGAGCAGTTAGTTATTTAACTGTTTATTATGTTTAATGTTGTATTGTGTATTATTTATTTGATAGGGACAAAGCACAAATGTAAATATGCCGGATTCTGGAGAAAAATATTGTTTTCACGTGCAGTCCTTATATCAAATACATCATTTTCAACAAGAGGAAATTCAGGTGACCATCAGTTCTGAAATGGACAGACAAATTTTTCAATTATAAATAGTTTTACCTAACAACTATACAACACACTAATACTATTTGAGTTCATGTGTTCAACAAAAAAAAATAAAAAATAACATTTGGGGTAGAATATTTTTTTACTTTTCTAAAATACTATGAGCAGAAAAATGAAAGTTTATGCATTTGAAGTCATTAATATGATTGTCTGAATATTTACAGCTAAAATACTTTTTTGACAGCTGCTTTATGGCTGTCCTGGACTGTGGGTTGCAACACTGATCTTTCTCCATTATAGGTTTACTTATTTTGCAATATCATTTAAAAAAAAATAATCTTTGTAATAACATATATGCCTATTGTCCACTATGTTGGATTATTATCAGGGATTTCAATTTAAACATTAAATTAATCTTATAGCTTTTAATATACCTTTGATAACAGCTCATTTGCTTCTTCTTTCACATCTGTTTTAACAAAATAATAAATACATGTTGTGAAATGTATAGTAAGGTGGAGCTGTCAGAGGTGGTGGTTTGTCGGAGCAGTATCAGGTCTGGGATCAGTGACAGAGGCCTCAGGATCCAGACACTGTTACAAATTGGTGTGTGAACGTCGAACCGACTCAATGTGGATTTACTGCAGCTCCAGCTCCGTTTGTGCTTTTATTTTGAAAGAAGAAGGTGAATTGAAACCAAGGAACACAACGTGCTAATTGTATCTATCTATTTTAAGGATTTAATGATTTGTTTTATTTAAACGTTTTTAATAGTTTCAGCGTTTAAAAGCGCAACCTCAATTGGATTCAAGGGACAATAACAACGAGCCTATATTTGTCTATGTTTTTGACACGTTTGGATTACTTTTTAAGGTTTTTTTATATATATATATAATTCTGATGGTTGATGTTAATATGATAAGGCAGTGCGAGCTACTCTTCAACAAACTTTAGTTTTCTATGAGTCTAAAGTCTTGGTAAACTTGCTAAATAAGGCCCATTTTTGTCTCCTTTACACAAGCACTATATTTACAAAAATACATATTAAGAGGGAAATAACTAATATTTCCATATCTTTATGTCCTTCACGTGTTTGATTTGATTTTCGTTTTTCTCTTTTTAATATACTTATTGTGCAATTGTACAATTATTTCGCCACATTTTTCAAACATTAAAACACATAAGATAGTGATTAAATTTAGAAACAAACCCAATGCACTAAAATGTCAGAAGAAAACTATTATTTCCATTAATATCTTTGAAGCACCGCATGTTACTGTCATATCCTGTTGTCCATCAAGATGTATTCCTCATCATTTACTTCATTAACATTGAAATTGTTATTTGTCAAGTGTTTAAAATCCATTATTGACCTCTCAATCAAGCCTTTTACGCGCGCTGACTTTCGCGGAATTTATGGCACTTTGTTCGCCTCTAATAAACCAGACAACAAACACTTTACGCACGGGCCGCGCCGTTCAATTAGACAACTATTTGCACTGGAACTCAAACAGATGATCGGAATGAGCGATAAACTTGGCAGACAATTTCCTCTCCTCACCTTTCCCATGAGTCCAGGGCCCCGCGGAGCACCCACAAGCCCGGGAGAGGCGCTCTGAAGGCGGGCGGAGAGCTGGGAGGGGGAGGGGCCGGTCCCATGGGGCAGAGGCGCAGCGCGGTTATCAGGCCCCATCTAGTGGCCGGACAGGGGAAAGGACGCGAGGCAAGAAGAGCGGGGAGAGAGAGAGGAGAGAGGGTGAGGAGGGAGTGTGGATGTATTGGTTGGATACAGGGAGGAAATGGTGGTTAATAGGCAGGGAAACTCAAGGGTTAAATTAGCCTCTGTAAAAGATCAGCCTGTTTATGTATTTGTCTCTTTGTGTGTCCATGTAAATATGCCAGACTTAACCATGAAGGCTAGTTTCCATCTGTAGTCCCATGACAGGTGGATGTTACAGCCACCAACAAACAAACAAACAAAAATTACTAAAAGCCAAGCAGGTTAGTAAAGCAGTAACATAAAACATGAGGGATATTCAATCAATAAAACTGTATTTATTAAAGAGAAACCATAGCAACCATAAAGGCACACTGCAAAAAAAGAAGGTATAGATACATTTACGAGGTTCATTAGTGGGACCTTAGTTTTATTTCATCATTGAAACATGAACTAAACACTGGGGAAAGTTTCACAGATAATTCACACAGTTTGTCCCAACAGAAGAGCTCACACTTCGAAGAAAAAGTACTGATTTTAAGAAAGTAATTAGGGTTAGGCTCAGAGAAAATACAAAACCAAATCAAACAGGTGATACACACATCAGGAACAAGAACCAGGGAAGACACAGGGTTAACAAATGACAACATAAAACAGGATCTAAACCGTCTTGTGATAGTAATTTGTTTTGTACAAATCAGACAACATTATATTGTCTTTGTCTTTTGAAAACGTATATATTTACATAGATAGATAGATAGCTTATACAGACTCGCAGTCCAGAACAAAAAATAGACAAGACACAACACACTAAAAAACCAGACAACAAAGAACGATAAAAGTCCCCAAATCTCTTTAGAGGAGGCAACGATACCAGTGTTTCCACAGTGCAGGGGTAAAACGAGCTTCACTGTAAGCTCTGCTCGTCAACACTAAAATCATCATATTCTCACTAGTGTTCAGGAGACACGTAAACTTGTACATGAGGCTCCTCAAGTTGGCCTGCAGTGTGTTCAGAAGCGCTCCATCTGGGCCTTTTTAGCAACAGTCTGAAGGCATCGTTGTAGGCCACTTTCAGTCTCTGTACTTACATATTTACATGTAAGAAGGAGTCCTGAGATGTGACAAAAGTACATACTTGTGAAAATGAATTAGCATACTGTTTTGAGAGCGATTGGAATATAGTTTACAATATTTGAGTACACATTTCTTTGTTATTGTGGTCTGGAAGTTAGAACCCCCAGCTTTAATCAGGTCTGATGACAAAGCTGATGCCCAATGGCTATTCAATGACCAAATGTACCACAGATAACTCAATACAAATGTTCATGATTGTTTTTTCACAGTTGATTTAGGCCATAAACTTTGATACCACTCACAAATAATGGTGGAGCGTATGCAAAATTGAAATCTCTTTTTTGTATTGTCCTCCACATGTAAATGCTCTTGCCTCGTGTCCAATATAAAAATAGTGTTAATGTCAGGGACACTGCGACACTTAACATTTCTCCAGGCTTAGTGCTGGCTCAAGTGGAGTATACTTGAGGCTTCTTGTAACTGTGGAAGCAATATCTATGTACAATGTTGCAATGCAGCCACTGTGGCAGATTGGCAAAGCTTTCACCACAAATCTAATGAAAACATTGCTTGCGTTTTGCATTCTGTCGGTGGTTGGATTTTTGACAGGGGGCTGGAGACGACAAACAGAGTGAAAATCGAAACGGGGAAACAACCACAGCCACACAACACTGCAAAAAAAAAATATACTGTATATATATATGTGTAAATGATGGCTTGAATAAAGGGGTTTTTATCTTAATTATGAGTACATTAAATCACTCTCAAAACCCATCTGTTCCAGCTTGCCTTTCCTTAATTTTGTTCTTCAATGTTGATTCTTATGCGTTTTTTATTATTGAAAGTGAGATATTTCTTGTATCATTTAAATACATAATAATATTGCTTGTCCCATTTGCCAATCTTGTTTTAAGGCAGTCAAAATGTGCTCAAATTAAGAAACATTTTACCAAATTTGTAATCACTTTTTGCTGTGAAGACAAGAATGCACCGGACCCGAAAGCCTTACACACCGTTGGTTTTGTGTTACATCCATATGAAAACCATATAAACGTGTGAAAGCCATAATGCCCTCTCCATCCCTCTCCTTCACAAGCCAATTATCCAATCCAAAAGCGATCTTCAGCAAACTCCCATTGTAAAGCCTCCTCAGCACAATAACTGCGGCAAATTGATCTCAAGTCTCTCAAGTGGTTGCAGCTACAGATGGGACCATTTTGACGGCTTCTGGGGGCAATTTACAAACATGTATGCGGCCCTGGCTCTCCAGACGCCTCCACCTGTCTTATGCCTTTTGTTCGCTACGGTATTCGGGAGTGGAGAGAAATGTAAAATGTGTGCGAGTGGAAGAATGAGAGCAGTGCTAATGTATTGTGACTGCGGCTGTCAGCAGGTCACCGAGAAGGGAGAAGGTTCAAGAGCTGATCGAAATTTGAGAAAACTGGAGATTTGGCAGCGTGGGATGGATGCAGTGGGATTTATGTCGTGAGAAAGGGTTTTTGTAAGTGTGTGAGAGGAAGAACATTCTGCACTGGGTTTGGAGTATGTTTAAATATTTCTTTAGGGAGCTAGCACTTAGGCTCACATTAGTCCAGGTCTCAGGTCTCAGGCCTCTGCTTCCTGTGGCTCAGAGAATAGACTTTAAAGGTGCTCTGTGTAATTTTTACAGTTGCTCCGAAAGAAAAAAAACATGTTTACCAATGACCTATAAGACTTTTTAAAGAATATTTACCTCCTCCATGTTTTTGAATTGTTGTCATGGACTTAGAATTTGACTTTTAAATGTCCATGGGGCTGGAGGACTCTATATTTTTTAATGCGCCATCTAGAAATACAGTGGTTGATAAGGGACAAAAAGGAGTTTGAGCGGGAGTTGTAGACCACTGTCAAAGACGACATATTGTCCTGTGAAGATTCCGTAAATTACAATATATGATCTCAATGCTAGATGAGAGGAAAAACTACACAGTGCACCTTTAGGCAGCTCAGATTTTGCACAAGTCTCTCCCTGGCCTCGCATTTGTGACATGCCCACTGTGATGGGAGACAATGGGACAGCTGGGGCTCTGAGTGTTGTTGTGTCCATAGGCAAGACACTCACCATATCACAGGTTGTTTTTTAATGTTCCACTTGGTCTTTGTTTTGTCTTTCTTGTTGTCTGTCTGCTTTATTCTGCTGCATTTATTTTTGATCTGACTGTTTTATCGACTTTTTTCATTGCTTTGTGCTGACTGTGCAGCGCTTTGTAAACACTGTTTTTGTAAAAGTGCTCTACAAATAAAGATTTATCACTTCACTCGCACTGCCCAGTATGAAGTAAGTAATCTTTATTTATATACCGCCGTTCACAGACCAGAGTCACAAAGCAAAACAACTGTGGGCATTTGTCTCTCACTCCACTCAGAGATGCCAGCGGGGTCGCCAGTACAGGAGGTGCCTATTGTAAATGTTTTTTAAGTGGTAGGGGAGATCGGAGCACCCGGAGGAAACTTACGCAGACACGGGGAGAACATGCAAACTCCACTCAGAAAGGCCCTGTTCCGACCGGGGTTCGAACCCAGGACCTTCTTGCTGAAAAGAGAGAGTGCTATATCCACTCAGCCAATGTGCCGCCCTAATGAATGAATCTGTTGTATAAAATATAAGGTAACATTTGCTTGAATCGAGTGATTTTTATCTTGGTTAAAGTACATTCTGACTTTCTTAAAACAAGATTAGGCAATAGGATAAAGCCATTTAGTCTTATTTCAAGGACTGTTGCTTTATTTTCTCATTCCAAGGGACACATTTCCTGTATCTTTTTAAAACAAGATAATTTTTCTCGTCCCATTGGCAAATCTTGTTCTAAGGCAGTCAAAAATCAGCTCAAATTAAGAAACATTTTGCCAATTTTGAGACATTTTTTCACTTTTTGCCGTGATGCGTAAATAAATAATACCATATGAAGTTTGTGTGTTTAAAAAAAGCGACATAAGTCAGATGTATAGTTGTATTTAGCGATACAGCTTAGACTTGTATACTATTTGAACTCTAAAACCAAATAGATACACAATAAGTTGATAATATTTAAAAGCATGCAGATGTCTATAGTTTTTTCTCAATCAAACACTCCTATTAATGAAGTCCAAATGGTCAGTTCATTAACTTGTTTATATGCCTCCATGTTGAACGGTTCGCTCTGGCTCGATCATTGATGATGTCACATGACACTGAGCCGGGGGAGGAGGGGGGGGGGGGGGGTGGGGGGGGGTTCCGGGGCCAGTGTGAACAGGTGTGAATCCTGCACCGTGACAAAGACCTCACACTTCCTCTTTGTAATCACCACATTTCTCGCTTGTTTAAAATCTCTGATGCGATCCTCCACCTGACGCACTCCATCCGTTTATGATGTGGTTTTAACGTCTCAGATCCACCCGTGCAAATAAACACTGGAGTGAAAAAGAAGCGTCCCCATCAGAGCGGGCCGTGGATTTGATGTCATTAATCCCACGCGCTTTTTTTTTACAGGTCCGCCTCCGAAAATGGACGCCTAAATTGCGACTAATAGGCTTCAAATCAAGGCCTAATTAAAACTGCATTAAGCGTAATGGATCACAAAATGAAGAGAGCCATTTATTGAGGCGTGTTTAGACCAGGGGATGGTTGGAATAAAAACACATGACGCAAGCGGCTGCAGTGAGATGAGCTGCAGCTAATGGGAAACTCCTGTGGGCTGAACGAGGGTCGGAAACACAGGTACATTGACAAATCCGGCTGAAAATAAATGTTTGGATGGGCCCATTTTGAGTGATGTCGCACACAGCCGGAGCAGGGGCTAGCATACTCGCCCCATGTTCTTTCCACTGAGTTTAAACAAAGCGCTGTAGTGGTTTTGCACGTGTTTTTGTTGATTGGTCTC